TATATATATATATATATATATATATATATATATATATATATATATTGCAATAGAAACGTATTTGCCGTTTACCCAATTACAGCCAGGTCACAATAACGACGATCCGTGTTGGTGAAATTTAGGTATGGAGCACAACGCGCCGACCGGCTTCCCTGGGTATCCTGTCGCCTCCTCCTCGGACGACGTCACCGTGCAGATCCTCGAGGCCCTCGACGAGAACACCGTCCGACTGGTTTTCACCGTGCCGCAGGTTCTGGTTGGCCTTCACGGACGCGTCGAGCTGCGATACACCAACGATAAAACGTACTTTTAGCATCAGTATCGAAACTAATTAAATGGCTTTATATCTGATTTTCGAGCGTTTCAGAGTAAACTTTTGACGGCCAAATTTTTACTATTTTATTCTATTTTGGTATGTCCTGCTATCTAAAATCTCATTATACCAGGTATATTCTGTGTTTATTATTTTTTTACATCAGTCCTTTCTCTTTTGTACGAAACAAAATGTAACTTGTATTATGTAGAAATTGCTACTGCTGCTCATTTTTTTCACAAAAGTTTCCCGATCTACTTATTTTGTACTTGTAGATTACCTGAAGCTTATTTACATACATACATAAATATCCTTTCTTCTATCGGACAGGAATTTCGACGTATCCAGCTGGAAGTCGCAAGTATTCGCACCGCCGAACGACCTGATCGCGACCCCGCAGCTCGAGTTCGAGCTGGGCGATTTGAAGCCGTCGACCGAGTATAAAGTAAAGATCACGGTGAAGCTGAAGGATCTGGCCAACAGTCCCGCCAGCAAGATCTACAGCGTGAGGACGCTGGAGAAACGGACGGACGCGACTACGTTGCCGCCTCAAATACCGATCGACGCCGAGCTCCACGTTATGGAGACAAACTCCACGTGGATCAACGTGGTGTGGAGGAAATTCACCGAGTACGAGTTACAGTTCATCGACGGCGTTCAGCTGAGGTACAAGGAGCACGACGGCAAGATCTACGCCGAAACTCCGTTGATCCATAGAGCGGTGAGAAATTACGTAATCGAGAATCTTCGGCCATCGACCGTCTACGAGATCGGGATCCTCTTCGTTCCGTTCCCTGGACAATTGACGGAGTTGGCCAGCGAAAAGACAGTGAGTAGTCTAAGAAATAAAATATGAATTCTGTGAATTGGATCGCTCGTGATATATCAGTAGTCAAATTATTATACTCGAGTTTGTAAATAGAAGCTCGAAAGGAGTTCTTTACCTCGATTCAAGTAAATAACAAGATAAAGTGACTCTGGCGCTGCTTAAATTCTTAGGTAACTTGACTAATCTGTTCGGAGGGTAACTCTTTCGTTCATCAAGCTTGTATCCGTCAAAGATTCAGGTGACTACCACGATGGAACCGGATCCGTACTCGTTTGACGTCAAAGTGGAAATCAAGACGATCAAGTCGACGGACGTGGAAGTAATTTGGACCGGGGTGCCTTATCCGGAGGACAAATACGTGAATATTTATAGAGCGATTTACCAAAGCGACAGCGGCAAGGAGGACACGAGCACGTTCAAAATCGCCAAGAGGGATTCACATCCGAAGACCGTGATCAGCGATCTGAAGCCGGGTACCAGGTATCGTTTGTGGCTCGAGGTTTATCTGACCAACGGAAGGATAAAGAAGAGCAACGTGCAAGACTTCGTCACGAAACCCGGTGTACTTCTGCCAGCCACGATATCGCAGCAAAGTACGTATGCGTACGATTGAAAGATTAGACGAAATTTTAACGACCGACAAGCAAGTTGACTCTGACTCTGTTCAATTCAATGGGAAATTCGATCTCTCAGCTGGGAAACTGGCGTCGCTGCCCCTTCACGAGGGCGATTACTACGGCCCTCTGATAGTGGTAGCTATCGTCGCGTCTCTCGCTATCCTGTCGACCTTGATCCTCCTAATGATACTCATGAAAAGACGGACCAGCAGTAAGGCTGACATATCCTCCCGTAAAAGCACGTCGGCGTACGACAATCCTTCCTACAAGGTAGAATTACAACAAGAAACTATGGGTAATTCACTCTCATTGTTTTTAATATGATAATCGCGGTGACAATTTCGCTCTCATTCTTGTCTCTCTCTCACTCACCATGCGTACGTTTCCACGTAGTGTCAACTAGCGTCGAGCAGTCAGTCAAGAAAATTTTCACAATTTTTCAGACCTGTGAGGACACCGTTACCATGTCGAACGGCAGGAGCAAGAACACGGACCACGAAATGGCCATCATCAACAGCAATGTCAAAGATACCGTTTAAGGTTCTATAATTTATTACGTTTTATTTATTTGTGAATTATTATTATGCTCGTTCGAATTTCACATACCGTGGTCGATGGCCGGTTTCTCGGTTGAAACGGAACGATCGATCGAATGGAACTTGCAGCACGAAGAACGAACTTCGTGTATGCATCACATACATGTACGTGCATGCGTGCTCTGATTACAGTTTCTTCGTCGCGCCGGTCATTCAACGATGATTCGATCGATAGAATTGCGTGCGTTGTATTAAAATTTGTACATAGCGGTGTCAAGTATCATTATAATATCACGCTAGATGATAAGATAGTGATTTAAGAACTGAAAATATGTATCATTTAGATAACTGCGATTTGTTTCGTAACATCTTCCTATACACCGATTGAAAATGTACTCTGTGTATTTAATATGAACAATTAAGTCGTAAATTACCCGTAATAAATTTCGTTGGGACTCGACGATCGAACTCCCGTCTTGTACAGTCTACGTTTACATATTGTGTAGAGATTTATATGATAAATAAGGTGTACTATGTCCTATAAAAATGTTAAGACGTGAAATGAATAAAACTGTTTATAAATTATGAGAGCTATTTATTTGCATATCATTTCACGTATATTAATCTAAATTTTAACCAGAGCTTTAATCTCATTGTTACAAGAGCAACTTTACCGGCTCTGTCGGTAAGGCAGAGACCGTGTACAATAAAAGAAAGGGAAATAAGCAAGCAAGAGTATAAGGGAACTTAGAAATACTTCTTCAATTCTGACTCCATTTGAAGAGGATCCGTGCTCGGTGCGTGTCTGGAAACTACTTTCCCTTCTTTGTTAATAATGAATTTCGTAAAATTCCATTTGATGTCATCAGTTATGAATCCACCCGCCTGCGTCTTCAACCATTTCCATAATGGGTGAGCATTATCCCCATTAACATCGATCTTTTCAAACAGATCAAAGGTGACATTGTATTTCTTGACAAAATTTAAGATCTCCTCCGAGGTGCCTGGTTCTTGACCACCAAACTGATTCGATGGGAATGCCAAAATCCTCAGGCCTTCTTTCTCGCTGTACTCTTCATACAGTTGCACTAATTCTTTATAATTTACATCTGTAAATCCACAATTGCTGGCAACATTAACAATTATACAAACATGACCCCGATATTTATCCAGCCCTACATCCTTTCCATGGATATCCGTAGCATGGAAATCATAAATGCTACTAGCTGAATTCCAATTCTTGTTTTGATCGAAAGGAGCAGAAGTTGTAGCAGAACATTGTCCTTGGCTATCGTCTTCGCAATTTTGCGCTATGACGCCATAAAGGAATAGAATGGTCAGGTATATCGATTCTACAAAAAAAAAAAAAAGAAGGAAATTTAATTAGTAACTTATCTAAAAGATACAATTGTAAAAATTGTTTAATTGAAAATTAAAGACTATTTATTCAAACTATCTTAAAAAGTCAAAACAGTGTCGTCCTCTACATCTCTTATTTACTGCTACAGAGATGGAAGCCCAGACAAAGAAATCCAATTCTGATTGGCTGTTTCTGGCAGACCCAGTACAATCATAAAGATAAAGGCACACAATTGGCTAAAAGTGTTGCACAAATAAAATTAAGTAGCAAAACGTGATGTGAATAAAGTCTTCTTTCCGCTGGGCTTCTTCTCATCTGCGCATTACATTTAATCAAATAACTATCAACAATCCATGAAATTATCATTAAAAATTAAAGGATTAATCTCCAACGTTATTTGTAACGTTTGATATAATACTGAAACAATACTACTTACTCAGCATTTTGAATCGAGCCGATTGTTACTTTGAAATTTTGTTCAAACTGTAATAAAAAGAAAATCTTGCTTATTAATCTTTATTATGTTGTTGTAAATATCGGTGCAAAACAGTTGAAATAGAATTAAAAATATTAATATACCGTTTCACTATCGTTCGGCGCAAGCGTCCGTACTCTTCAACTTGTTGAACACAAATGCATTGGTCTTTCCTCTATCTAGAATTTTTAAAGAACTCTAAACACACTGACCTCTGTCCAGTTCTCTTGAACGTACCTATAGTACACATGTTTGCATATAGCATTGTGGATTCTGGAACGCTCAGAACAGATTAAACAACAAAGTTTAATTAAATAAAACTTTATTCTGTATTCATTGCAGCAAAACATTTTAACTATAATATTTTGTTAATAATTACTTTGTTGATAATTAGCATATAACTTTTGCAAACAACTTATGACAATATTATTATTGTTATATTTATGATTGTCTCATATTACACACACATACTTTGTACCATAAATTACTGGAAAAATATTAAAATTCTACAATTATTTCCTATTTTATTAATAATATCATAAACAAATATTATGGATAAAATTTAAAGATTTTTCTCTTTCTCTACTATGATTTAAAATAGATATACAACAATAGAGAACTACAACACTTAATCTCAAAAGATTTTGTTTATTCATTTTCATTGATACAAATTTTACTTGCACTTGCACGTGAGAGTCTCGTTGCTGCGAATACGAGAACATAACCTTAAAGTCATAACAGTATCATAACCTATATGAACTATGCTTGTTGTCTGTCATCGATCGCAAAATGAAATCAAAACTTTTACAGTTTTAATACATAACACATTAACAATAACATCAAAATTATAATTTACAAATTATACACACCTAAGTTTTCAAACAGTGGTAAACTATTTTATTGAACGTTGTTATTCAAGTCATTATTTGTATAAAAAATGGTAAGTACAATAAACGTTATTGCATATACAAAATTATCCTTTCTTAATATACTTAACCAACCAACATTATTTATTTCAGGCGAGAAATGCGGAGAAGGCTATGTAAGTTATATAAAAAGAGTATATTCCTTTTTTTAATTTGTCTGTAAGTTTGTAAGTTTTTCTTTTTCACACATTTATTTAAACTTTCGTTCTTTAACAGGACCACTCTTGCTCGATGGAGAGCCGCACAAAGCAACGAAGGAGCCAGAAAGGAACAAGAAAGGAGACCGTATTTAGCATCCGAGTGTAGAGATTTGAGGAAAGCGGAGAAGTGGAGGATGCAAATAATTAGAGAAATTGCAAAGAAGGTTGCACAGATTCAGAACGCAGGCCTAGGGGAATTTCGTATACGAGATTTGAACGACGAGATTAATAAATTGCTGAGGGAGAAACGACATTGGGAGGCTCAAATAAAAGAATTAGGTGGACCTGATTATTCCAGAGTGGGGCCACGTATGCTAGATCACGAAGGTCGTGAGGTACAGCATAAGTTTTTAAGCATAATACATTGATCGGTTTTTGATGGAAAATGTAAAGATCTAATGATCACAACACGTAGGTACCTGGAAATCGTGGTTACAAATATTTTGGAGCGGCGAAAGAACTACCAGGTGTTAGAGAATTGTTTGAACAAGAACCACCGCCTCCGCCACGCAAAACACGCGCTGAATTAATGAAGGACATCGATGCTGATTACTATGGGTACAGAGACGATGATGATGGAATTTTGCTGCCTTTGGAACAAAAAGCTGAACAAGAAGCACGAGAAAAAGCGACGCAGGAATGGCTGGCGCAGAACGAAAAAGAGCCAGAGATAGAAGAAGAGATCGAGACAACTGCACAAAAAGCAATACCATCGCAACAAGATATTCAGGAGGCGTTGCTTGCAAGAAAAAAACAAGAACTATTAGAGAAATACGTACTTTGACAAATTTTATTCCTTTTTCTTTATGCATTCGGTAACAACTATTTGTAAGTTTATTCGTTTAATTTAATATTAGAGTACACTTTTATAAAACGCGACAGATATAATAATTATTATTAATTTATAAGTAATAACATTGATTAAGGTAATTATTTTGTGCAGTAGACGTTCAAACTTCAATTAATACTTATCGAGAAAGAGTGCTGTAGATAAAATATAGATAAAAATTCAACGTTAGTCTGTTTATAATTCTCGCGATCTTTAAGATTTTTCT